CTTTCTTCTAGGTTAGATTATGTTGTCTGTCACTTAGAATGCTGAATAATAAAACCTGAATTAATTGGTGCTCTGTTAACAAGAAAGAAGAAGGAAATGACACTGTGTGGTCAACCAGTGTCATTTCCTTCACAAGGTAGTGTGTACAGGAAAAGAGAAATAGTAGATAAGAAAGAAAATTGGAAGAGGATTGTCTTAGCCAGCCTCCAAAATGGCCCCCAATGACCCTTACTGACCATAATTCATACTCGGAATGGTTAACAGGTAGGTCAACGGTTTACACTGTACTGACAGTTCTCTTTCTTAATGAATAGGGCTGATCCTATTCATTAAGACCTATATGATCAAAGAATATTGCAGAATTGACAGTGTGTGAATTCCAAGGCTAGGTTATAAAAAATATTGTATCTTGCATCTTGCTCTCTCTTGAATCACTTGCTTTGGGGGAAGTTAGCAGCCATGTCTCAAGGATGCTCAAGCAGCCCTATGGAGAGGGTCATGTGTCAAGAACCTGAGAACTTCTGCCAACAGATGATGTGACTACATCACCTTGGAAAAGGATACTTCAGTTCCTTTCTGCTGACTGCAGGCTCCTGAGACCCTGAGCCTGAACCACTCAGTTAAGCTGTTCTGGTATTCTTGACTTACCAAAACTGAGTGAGTTAATAAATGTTTACTGTTGTTTTAGATCTCTACTTCTTGAGATCATTTGTTGTACAGTAATATGTAACTAACAGGAATACAGTAAAATATCAACATCAATAGTAACTGTCTATGAATGGTAGGATTACAAGTGACTCTTAACATCTTTGTTGGATTTGAAGTTTTGACATTGTGGCAAAGAACATATGCTTAAATCTTCACATTATCTTTCTCTCTTTGGTTTATTCTTCCCACCTGCTTTTCCACAGCACTCAGGTTAGTTCCATGGACCATACTATGAGTTTTTGGCTGGTCTACACTGTGATGTCTCACTTGGTGTCAAATTTGCTCTTCTCCAAGCAATCCACAAGACTAATATATGCATAGTTCATTCCCAAGCACCACAGTACTAAAGAAAGAGGTCAGACCAAACTCCTGAGAGCCTGGTGTATCATTCTCTAGGACCCAATGTCTTTGAACAGATTTCCCAGAAGCAGACCTCAGATAAGAGGGAAAAGCTTCCGGGAGAAACTAGTAAGAAAGGAGCAGGACCTAAGAGAAGGGTGGGTTTAGGCCTCAGCCTGATCCTATAGGGGAGCTCTAGAATATAAATTATCTCTGAGTTGGTTCCTACTCGAAGCACAGGAGCTGGGTGCTCATACTACAGCACTTGTCAGTCAAGAAATAAGCTCCAACTGGTGTGGCTCAGTTGGTTGAGTGTCCTTCTGCAAAGCAAAAGGTCACCAGTTCAATTCCTGGTCAGAGCACATGCCTGGGTTGTGGGTTTGATCCCCCATCAGGGCGCATGCAAGATCAATGTTTCTCTCTCACATCAATGTTCCTCTCCCTTTCTTTCTCGCTTCTTCCTCTCTCTCTAAAAATAAATAGATAAAATATTTTTTTAAAGAGTTTAAGAAAAAAAAAGCTCCTGTCCGCTCTGTGCTTTTAGGCAGAGCAGTTCCAGTGGCCCGAAGAGCCATACATAGGACAGTCCTCCAAAGAGAATGTAGATGTATGTCACTGGAAGCAAAAGCACAGAGAAGCCAGGTGAGTGATGCACAGAAATAATCAATGGTAATGAAAGAAGCTTGAAGTCCTTCAGGTGAAACAAAGTCACATAAAAACAAAACAAAACTATATATATTTTCAGCCCCGGCTGGTGTAGCTCAGTGGATTGAGTGCCAGCCTGCAAACAAAAGGGCTGTAAGTTTGATTCCCACTCAGGGCACATGCTTGGGTTGCAGGCCAGGTCCCTTGGTATGGGGCACATGAGAAGCAACCACACATTAATATTTCTCTCCCTCTCTTTCTTTCTCCCTTCCCCCTGTCTAAAAATAAAAAAATAAAATATTTAAATATATTTCTTCAGGGTTTTTTTTTTGGCCTTATTGTTTTTTCCAAGAAAACTACTAAATTAGTTTTTCAAAAATGGTCAATGGGGCCCTGGGCATCTGGGGTTGGGGAGAGGGGCGGGTGCTGATTGTGTCCATAATATCCCATGTAGGCATTTAAGATATTTCTTACGAAACTCACTGCCACTAAGTGTAGATAGGGAGTTGGGAAATGGGATGCTTGGAAAGAAGACTACTTAGAAGGTAATGAAAAAGTCTGGAAGAGAGTGATGAATTTATACTATGGCAGTGAGGACAGACATGAAAAAACAAAACAAAACATAACCTTCTACCAGCCTACCAGACTGGAAAAAAAAACAGCTACATGAGCTCGGAAGAGGTGGAAGATCCACGGCAGTTCCTTTTTACAATTTAATGTTTCCAACCACAAAATCTTCCTCTCTGGGCATCAGATACTTCACCTGTGAAATGGGCGAAGTATAATAATAGTGAAAAATAATAGTAGTAGTACCATTTATTGGGTACTTCACTGTGATAAAGGCACTGACTGTTCCAAAAACTTCACAATTGTTACTCTTAACCCTCAAACCTATGACATAGGCAAAATTACTGTCCCTATGTGACCTATGAAGGTACTGAAGCTCAGAAAGGGTAACTTGCCTGAAGTCACATAGCTAGTAACTGTCTCAAGATTGTTGAAAAGTTTAAATGTCTGCACTCCTTGGACTGTACCTTTTCAGTGTGCTCCTACAGACTCCCCAGCCCACCAGCTAGTGTGGTTCCTGCCTGAGGACCTGGCAGATGTGGAAGAATGCTGGAAGCACTAGCCACAGGCCCTGCAGGGGTAATTACTGCCACCCAGGATCTGGCCCCACCCAAGACTCTCAGGAGGGGCTATCTTAACATCCCAACTCCCCACCCATCCTTGTCCTTCTAATGAGATAACTCAGGGGTGCGAGTTCTTTGCTGGTTCCCAGAGCTTCTCAGCGGGATTTGGCTCCAGGTGCCCACAGTAATAATTGTTGGGATGAACCACCCATTCCTGACTGTCTTCTTTCCCCTCTCTTACTTCTTCATTCCCTTCTTAGTGCTTCCCAAGCTCACTTCTCAAACAAACTACTTGCACCCAAATCTTTATCTCAGAATTAAGCACAGTTTTAAAAATTGGTTTTCAATTTCCAGAGCTGGTAAAGCAGGAGGCACCATCATGGGAGTCCACATCCACCACCTCAAAGACCAAAAGTTTTGGTGTGAGGAGCACAAGAGCCATGACAAACTGCACGGGTCAAACTGCACAGTTTTCTAGGCAGCTGAGACAATGCCCCCTTCAGACAAGTGGGGCTGAAGCGTTGTTGCCTCTGACCCTTTTCCAGATGATCCAGAAGATAAAGCTTCCTGGCCAAAGGGCAAAACCACTGTGTTTTGGGGAACTAGAATCAATGACATGCATAGGTAGAAGGTGCCCAAACTGTCCCTGGCACAGTCCTGCTTTCTCATCCTTGAAATAGCTGAGAAAGCTCTTATAGTATAGGCTAGGCTTCTGCAAGGCCTAAGGAACCCCTTACAACCACATCAAACCCTACCTGCACTCCAAGGACTGGAAGTTCAAGGCCACTAGAGGCTGACAGGCCAGAGCGGCTACAAAAACTAACCCCAGACCCTACCTTGTTATTAAAAAGATTTTGGATGCTGGAAAAAAAATGTTGTCAAGATTAAAAAGTTAGATTTCACATTAGAATCTGGATTTCATGTTTCCCTTGAAAACTCAGAAGTCCTGGCAATGCCTCTGTTCTGGCATGACCAGAATCTTCAGGGCTAGAGCTGAGGGTCTCACCCCCACAGGGGTCAGGGGTCAGGTCATTCTGCCATTTGCCAATCCCACACAGTAGACCCATCATTCATTTATTAACTTATGTCCTCCCTGGTCCTAGCAGGTGACTGAATTTGAAACTCTTGATTTGGGCTCTCATTGAAGTATTCCTAAATTGCCTAATGTTAAAATGCTAATTCTGCCCTGACTGGTGTGGCTCAGTGGTTTGGATGTCATCCCACAAACCAAAAGGTCACTGGTTCAGTTCGCAGTCAGGATACATGCTTGGGTTGCAGGCCAGGTCCCTGGTTGGTGGTGTGCAAGAGGCAACAAATTGTTGTGCAAGATGATTGATATTTCTCTCACATAGATGTTTCTCTTCCTTTCTCCCTCCCTTCCCCTCTCTCTAAAAGTAAATGAATAAAATCTTAAAAATAAATACTCATTCTGGTTCAGCAGATCTGAGTGCAGTTCCAGAGTCTGCCTTTCTTACAAGCTTCCACGTGATGCTGATGTTCTTGATCTACAGATCAATCCTTGATGAGCAAAGTTCTAGTCTCTCCCCTCCCCAGTTCATTTTGCACATCATTGTGCCTTTATTTTTCTAGAATGCTAAGTAAGACTCCTGTTTTAAAAATGCCATTGTTTGCCAAATACCCATGGCAGTTCCTTGTTGTTATTTAATTTTCTCAGCTATAGAATCTTTCAGTTTCCCAAAACTCAATGCTACTGCTGGGATCACCCGTGCACAGCATACAAGTGAGATAGAACAGGGGTGCTACTGAGGTTGAAGAAGGGTCTTTGGGAGATACAACCCTTAAGTTTCCCTCCACCCAACTGATCCCCAGATCTCATAGCCAAGTCATAGGAATTTAAAACTCCACAGAACTCAAATGAAAATCAGAGGCCACATTCTGGTATTCCAAGGCTTTGGGAATTAAGTAATTTGCCAGAAGCCACAGAGCTGCCAAGTCCTGGATTTCTCAAATTCCCTAGGTATTTTGGTTCAATGCCACATTCACACCCTTTTCTCCTAACACCCAAACCAAAGCCTCCGCTTAACTGCAAGCTTTCCATGCCCTGGTCATACTTGAGCCTCAGGTCCTCTGGGGACACTGTTCCTACTGCCTCTCTTTGCCCTTACCTCTCCTTTACATCCAAGCAATCTTTTAAAACAGGGCTTAAAAGTAGCAAGAATCACTTCTCAGCCTTTTGGCTAAGATCAAGTGTAGTATCTGTTCTTATCAGTATAGTATCTGGTACATCCTCTATATGAAGACAACATATTAAATGGATTTTGGGAGCAGGGAGATGGCATAGGAGCTTGCTGGGTCCACTCCACACATCGACCCAGTAAGGACTGCTTCTGGGAAGGATGTACAAGAAAAAAAAAAGAGCAAAAAAAGTGTTTATGTCTCTTCCTCCCCGCTGTCCCATAATTCTCTCCAAAATGGTGCATTTGACCAAGAGTTGAAGATCAGGTATCTGCAGGGTATAATTCTACCTCCTTGACCTGGCCTCCACGTCTCCATCACATGGCCTCGGCCTCGGTGCCAGGTGAGCATACTGCCTTATCTCCGAGCCCAGCCAGGAAAACCTCTGCTCTGCTCACCTGGTGTTACCTTTGCCTGAAATTGCCCTTGGTGCTCCTGTCTGGCCTAAGGACCTTTGTTCACTCGTTTAGAACATCTGTGCTATTTAATGAGCTTTTAAAAAATTAGAGTGAAAAGTTCTTGGGGACTTCCAGCCAAGATGAAGGCATAGGTACATACACCGTGCCTCCTTGCACAACCAAACAAAGAACAACAACAAATTTAAAAACAAAAATGACCAGAACTCCTAGAAAATCGAACTGTATGGAAGTCTGACAGCCAAGGAATTAAAGAAGAAACATTCATCCAGACCACATAACAACGCATTGACGTGGGTTGCCACACCCTGGTGAATACATAAGGCTCTGCCCCTTACAATGTAACAGGAGCACCAAGACAAAGAAATATGGCCCAAGTGAAAGAACAGATCAAACACCACAAAAACAACTAAGCAGCAAAGGGATAGCCAACCTATCAGATGCACAGTTCAAAACACTGGTAATCAGGATGCTCACAGAAATGTTTGAGTACAGTCACAAAGTACAGGAAAGAATAAAGGCAATGCAAAGTGAAATAAAGAAAAATATACAGGGAACCAACAGTGACAGGAAGGAAACCAGGACTCAAATCAACGGTTTGGATCAGAAGGAAGAAATAGACATTCAACCAGAACAGAATGAAGAAACAAGAATTCAAAAAAATGAGGGGAGGCTCAGGAACCTCCGGAACAACTTTAAATGCTCCAAAATCTGAATCATAGAGATGTCAAAAGGAGGAGAGGAAGAACAAGAAATTGAAAACAATGAAGGAGAACTTCCCCAATCTGGTAAAGAAAATAGACTTCCAGGAAGTCCAAGAAGCCCAGAGAGTCCCAAAGAAGTTGGACCCAAGGAAGCATACACCAAGGCATATCATAATTACGTTACCCAAGGTTAAAGATGAAGAGAGAATCTTAAAAACAGCAAGAGAAAAGGAGACAGTTACCTACAAAGGAGTGCCCATAAGGCTGTCAGCTGATTTCTCAAAAGAAATCTTGCAGGCAAGGAGGGGCTAGAAAGAAGTATTCCAAGTTGTGAAAGGCAAAGACCTACATCCAAGATTGCTCTATCCAGGAAAGCTATCATTTAGAAGGGAAGGGCACATAAAGTGCTTCTCAGATAAGGTCAAGTTAAAGGAGTTCATTATCATCAAGCCCATATTATATGAAATGTTAAAGGGACTTATCTAAGAAAAAGATAAAGATTGTACTATGAACACTAAAATGACAACAAACTCACAACTATCAAGAACTGAATGAACCTAAAACAAAACAAAACAAAACAAAACAAAACAAAAAGGTAAGCAAGCAACTAGTACAGGAACAGAATCATAGAGCTGGAGATCACACAGAGGGTTATCAGTGGGAAAGAGGAGGGGAAAGGATGGGAGAAGGTACAGAGAATAAGAAGCAAAAAGGGTAGGTACAAAATAGAAAGGGGGAGATTAAGAAAAATTTAGGACCCTGGTGGTGTGGCTCAGTGAATTGAGCACCAGCCTGCGAAATGAAAGGTTGTTGGTTCGATTCCTAATCAGGGCACATGCCTGGGTTGTGGGGCCAGGTCCCCAAATGGGGGGGAATGCGAGAGGCTGCTGATCGATGTAACTCTCACACACAGTGTTTCTCTCCCTCTCTTTCTCCCTCCCTTACACTCTGTCTAAAAATAAATAAATAAAATATTTAAAATAAAAGAATTGTACAAGAAATAGAGAAGCCAAAGAACTTTTATGTATGACTCATGAACATAAAGTAAGTGGGAGGAATGCTGGTGAGATGGTGGGTGCAGGGCAGAAGGGAATAAAGGGGAGGAAAAAAATGGGACAACTGTAATAGCATAATCAATAAAATATACTTCTTGAAAAGTTATGATGAAAAGTCTTTAATGAGTATAACTAGGAGTATTTAAGAAATGACCAGCTCCTCCCCCATGTCTTTTTGCAGTTGGGGCTCGTTGGAGGCAAATAAAAGCATCTTTTTTCTTTGCACTTTTCTGTGTCTGCTCGGCACTGACATGAGGACAGACAAGCAGCTCTCCTTTGAAGCTTTGAACTCTGTATGTTAAACTATATGTTTGGAAAATGACATAAAGTAGAAAATTACCCAGAAAATACCAACTACCAAAAATTGCTCATGAAATCAAAAACCTGAATAGACTTACTATACATTAAAGAAATTGAATTTCATACCCTGGCTGGGGTGGCCCAGTGGATTGAGCACTGGCCTGCAGACCAAAGGGCACATGCCCGGGTTGTGGGCCAGGTACCCGGCTGGAGGCTTGAGAGAGGCAACCAATCAATATTTCTCTCACACATTGATGTCTCTCTCCCTCTCTTTCTCTCTCCTTTCCCTTCTGTCTAAAAAGTAAATAAATACAATCTTAAAAAATGAAGAAATTGAATTAGAATAAGAAATTTTAACCACAGATTACTTCACCAAATCCAGTTGTCCTCACAGGCACTTTTATCACCTTTAAGGAAGAGAAAGCCTCTATATCACCCAAACTAAGAAACAAGATTCAGTAATTTGTAAGAGGCTAGCTGCTAGCTGCTGCTAGTATAACCCTGACCCCAAGCAAGAAAGGACAGTGAAAGAAAACTGATAGCTCAGTTTCACGAATATAGATGTAATGATTATGAATAAACCATTAGCTAAACAATGGCAGCAATGTTATTGATACAACATTGAAAACAAATACTACCCAGCAGTGTTTATCTCAGGAAGACAAGGGTGTCATTCATTTGACCACTAGAAAACAGCAATATAATTTACTCAGCTGCAGATTAAAGAAGCAAAAACCAACAGTCACCTCAATAGATTCAGAAACAAACAAATGATAAGTTCAAATTCAGCAACCATTTTGTGAAAACACTTAGACTTCTTGTTTGGGTTTCCTCGGAAGTAGACCCTCAAAATTATCCCAAGGGGTGAGGGAGCTGGGGGATCTGTACTCCACTTGCCCAGAGAAGGTCATAGCTTGAGAACTGATCCCTGAGCTGTGGTTCCCTAGCACATCTAGCCTTCCCTTCTCTGGGGCAAAGCAGCCTACCTAGGTTTTGAAAGGGTCTGGGGAGGCCTTAGGCATGGAGACACAGAGTAGGCATTTTGAAAGTGGGCCCAGCCACCCAGAATGGTCTCCCAGAAGATATGAGTAGGGCATACTCAACATACTACAAATAGGAGAGAATACTTTAACCCACTTTTTCTGGTTAGGAGTTTTACCAAAAATAGCCCTGGCTCGTGTGGCTCAGTGGATTGAGCACCAGCCTGCAAACCAAAGGGTTGCCAGTTGATTCCCAATCAAGTCACATGCCAGGTCCCAGTAGGGGTTGCTTGAGAGGCAACCACACATTGGTGTTTCTCTGCCTCTCTCTTTCTCCTTCCCTTCACCTCTATCTATAAATAAATAAATAAATAAATAAATTAATTAATTAATTAAACCTTTTTTAAAAAAGAGCATACATTTATTCTCTCACAGTTCTGGAGGCTAGAAATTGGAAATCAAGGTCTTGACAAGGCCCAGCTCCCTCTCATTCTTAGTGTTCTTTACCTAGCTCATATCACATCCAAAACAAATTCCAAGTGGTTCAAAAGCTTAAATATTAAAATTAATTGAAAATTAATATTAAAAGTAAAACTTTCAAAAAATATATTGGAGGATTATCTCTTTTTTATATATTTATCTTGATAATATGTTTATTAAAGCTCCAGACAGTGAAATGAGAAAGGGCTTAGGATAGAAGAAGCCACAGCCTCACTGGAAAGTCAGAGAAAAGGGGACCCTGGAGATAGGTTCAGGGGGTTAGCTGGAGGAGAGTTGCTGCTGCCTACTGCTCCCCTGGTTGCAAGTCTTGCGGGGACACTTACGGTTTAGAAGATGCATGCCTGAGAGGGAAGAAAGATGTGGCCCTGCTCCCAAGAAGGAGAGCAAACTTGGAGGATTATTTATATGTTAGCGGAACATCTGAATTATGTCTATGATTATTTTTACATTAGCTAAACCTATTATGGTGATCATTTCACAATATCGGTAAATCAAACCACCATGCTGTATGCTTTAAGTTTATACAGTGATATATGTTAATTATTTCTCAATAAAGCCAGAAAAAGAGAAATTACACATTGGGAGATACAACTTGAAATATATTTAATGAGTAATAATTGGTATCCAAAATATTTTTTAAACCTACAAGTTATGGGGAAAAGACACACAACCTAAAAAAGAAAATAGGCAAAGGAATGATTTCTATGACCAATAAACACATGAAACATATAAACATATAAAATGAAGGTCATCTTTAGTAAGAGGGGAAATGCATATTAAAAGGAGGGGATAATCATTTACATCCAACAGATTGACAAAATTAGCACACCTGGCTATTTTAAGCATTAGGTGCCAAGTAACAGAAGACCTAAGTAACAATGACTCACAGGCACCAGATTCTTTTTCTCACAAAACAAGAAGTCTAGAGGTCTGGAGGTGACCGTGGGCTTCAGCCCAGTAGCTCAACCACATGCTTACAAAGTACCTGATAAGCCTTGCTGCATCTCACCAAGTTTTAAAGCCAACATTGGGGAAGACAGATCAAAGTGAATGCAGTGATTGTCTTGGTCAGAAAAGTAAAAGCTTTAAAATCCTCCCAGCCCACTTTTGCCTTACAAAGTACTTCAAACATCAGGAAATGATATAATTCAACACTTATGTGTATGTACAATCAATTTGTAATGATGGGAGACTGGAAAGTTGGAAAAGTTTAATT